CAGTAGGAAAGGAGTTACGACTGAAAAGTACGGCTGGAGAACGTTTCCACCGAAGACTTTTGAGCGCTACTGTACATTTACAGATCTACGTATTCATCCTGAAGTGAACCGAAGCAAGTGATATATGGTTGTACTAGAAAGGTTTTTACTCAATTATTCAATCAAAAATCAACATCTCATTCCAGAATATTCAGTGTATGAGAAAAGTGGACATATAATTATAATAGCAGATAAAGCAAGTTCAAACGTTCATGGTAGGCGTTACACACCGAAGGGACTCGACTGTTGTCGAGGCGACTGGCGACTTGTTTATGTAGGAAAATTAGTAATAAGTCGTAAAAAGCATCGGACTGGAATTAGGGAAACACGCTACTACTATCAACAGCTTCGTCTGTTTCTGTTTGTTCAACTAATTCACGGCTCCCTTCATTCAGATGTAGGCTTTGAAGGAATACAGGGGATCTCACAGAAGTTCCCAAGGATATTGATTGATGTCCAGCCGCCAATACCTCATGATCTTATTGAATCCGAAACCTTGATACTTAGCAATCGTAACCTTATGGCAGGAACAAACCACTGCCAATTAATGAAAAATGATGTCACTTTTTCTATAGCTGACCAATTAACTATTCATAGCTAAGCTCCCTTAGCAGAGCGCCTTCAAACTTGGATAGATTTTGCACTATGCAGGCAGTTAATTCTGTCGTACTTATAAACAGATAATGTTAAGGCGGGCTTAGCCATGGGATTTTAAAGCAATTATTTGACTACCTTGAATATAGTCACATTAGCACAGAAGAAAGGATTTCTTCACCTAAAAAATTGAAGATTAATTGGCACTAGCTGCAACTATGTCCGATACTTCAATCAATCAGTAGATCTCGAGCTGTTAGCAATGAGAACAGGTGATAGGGGCCGATAAGGAGCTTCGGAGAGCAAGAGTCTTTGGGTTTGTAGCGCCCTTCTTTTCCAATGACCCAGCAACAATCGGTCTGGACGTGGAAAGAAAACTAATGTAACCACCATTAGCAAAATGCGCTGAAAGTAGCGTTGAACTTTCGCGCATTCAAACCTCATTATCCCATTGGAACGGGATCCTTCAAGTCCATCGCGCCTGTAATCATGCTTGGATATGAGCCTGCACGGTCTCAAAGAACGAACTCTTGACAGAAGTAGGACGTCGACGAACGGGAAGGAAAACAGAAGCACAAGGAAGTACTGTTTAGACTACATAGCAGTGGCCGGTTGACAACTCCTTTCCTTGATAAAAAGACTCGTCACAGTCCGGTCTGCTCAACCACTGAGACCGGATCAACATCTCAAAACAACAATTTTTCAAAAGGAATCATAACATACTAGCAAAATGACCTAGAAAAATCACAGGAAAATGCCAAAAAAAAATATACTCGTAAATCTATCACTTTCACCTCACTTGAAGAGCGGCCACTCAGTTCTGTTGCCGTCAACCCTAAGGACTACTCAGTTCGAAGTGCTTTTGAAATCAATGCCTACTTAAACTCTACCCAACCTTTGACGAGTTAATGCAGTCACTCGATAAAGGCTGAGACAACTCGAGCTATTTACACAACACGATTCATGCCCTCGAAGGAATAATGGGGGACGGTACATTCGTGCGATTCGAGCTGCGTGCGGCAAAGTGCGCGGCGAAATTCGTGGCCATTTGAACGATCCTGGCGCCTACTATTGGGGCAAAAGCTTGCGGTAGAGATGATTATTATGGTCAGCTGATCCTACTAATCTTCTCTACTTCCAATTTGGGCCCCAATATTAGGCGCCAAAGTCGTCGAAATCAGTATGGATTTCGCGGCGCGCAGCTCGAATCGCACGAATGTACACACACCCAGGAATAAATTGCTCCTCTGTTAACAAGGTCTTGATGCACGTCGACATTGGTCTTCAAATGACCATCCTTTCAAAATACATTGTTAGCAATCCCGTTACGGACGCTCTAGTGTGCTTCGCGACTCTTAATTTCCAGGAGGCGTGCCTCTCACTTACTCCTAAATTTTGCGATCTCATTTTGATGGATAGTCCTGGAAGAAAGAACAGTTGAAGAGAAGATATGAGAATGGACGAGATCTCCTACTACCAAATACTCTATTCCTAATCCATTCTCATTTCCTCGTCTTCTCAAAATAGAGGTTGCCTATGCATTCTAACATCGCCCACTTTGATGTTGTCCTAGCCTACCATAAACTACACATTTCTTTTTCATTACCAACTAGGTTTTGAGCACAGTTGCTAGTTTCCGATTATGCCGAGGTTTGCATATAATTCTGGTCTTCTATTCTTACTGTGAACATTTTCGTAGAAGACTGCGAGTTACTGATCTAGTATCGAACACCTCAGTGCACCCCCCAGAAGCCTTTAACATTTCACCTCCCCTCCACTGCTAGCTTCTGTAGACTTACCCTTATTCGAGAACGTCACGGATCTCTGTAATTCAGCTCCAGAAGGAAAACACTGAATCACAGTATGGGACTTACTCTGAGTTAAGGCATGTCCGACACTTGCATAGATCTTGCTAATTACTGCATTTTTTTGACCTCCGGGGTACCCAGGAACCGAATTATGAAATCAGTTCAAAACCACTGGTTCAATAAACGAGGTGAGTTTCTTTTGCACTACTTTCTGAGAGACCGCTCATCTTTGCTAATGTTTAGCAAAGTCTTTAATTTTTTTAAATAAAGAACTAAAAGTCTTCAATTCCACACAGCCGTATTTGGTGTATTTCCTGCCCGCAGACAGAGGTTTGCACAGCTCATGTAGGTTCTTCCTACTTTGGTCTATGGCTCATTCATCCCAGATTCGACCTGGTCTCCCAAGGTGTTTCTCTATGTTATAGACTTTTGTGGCACACACACATACACACACGTGCATACATCCACACATTTGTTGGAGAGTGATGGTTATCATGCGAATAATTCACTTCACAAATTTCGCTT